GGTTTAGTAGGTTATCGGGGAGTAGACAGGAGGCTTTATAAAGAGAGGAAGAAAGCATGGGGAAATGTGCTCTTGCTCAGCCCTCACCATGTGATTGCTTGCGTCACCACAGGACTCTGTAGAGAATCTGCACCAAAAAGAAGGCCCTCACCAGATGTGTCCTCTGGATCTTGGACTCCCCAGCCTCCCAAACTGTAAGAAGTAAATTCATTTTCTTATAAATTACCCAGTTTTGGGTATTCTGTTATAAGCAACACCAAACTATTACAGGAGGCATATAAGGGGAAATCAGGAACCTGATTAAGAATTTTTGTGGAGATAAGACAAGTGACTCCACAGTTGAAAGATGCAAAGTGAACTGCCAGATTAGCGATCAGAGGGAAGGTATCAATTAGTTACAATAAGATCAAGAGTGTTAGAAAAGTACATGGCAGCATGTGGGTGTTCACAAACCACCCAGGTTTCACCTACTTGAGACAGCATTGAATACCATCAATTCTATAAAAATCATAGAATTTTAAGGGCAGTGACCACAGAGCCTTCCTCCCATGGATTAGCTCAGGCAAGGCAGAGATTGTTACCCCACTTCTGTACATCTGGTTTTGTTAGTGCACACATTCTCTCCCTGCCACTGAGGAATCAGTTGGGACAGGGAATAATTGGGATGGGGTGAGGTCACATGAGGATAAGGGAGGAGAAAGAGAAGGCCTATGTGGTGTTTGTTAAATCTCTGTCACTAAGAAAATAATTATTAATGATTCTTAGTAATCTCTGCATAAAACTAATGGAATTGACTGACTCTACGTAAAAATATTAATGAAAATAGAGGCTCAGGGCCAAGAAAATTAGATCTGTTTATAAAATAGATTTCTTGGTTATACAGCTTATCCCTGCGTGAAATTTCTGTATTTTAACTGGATTTTTTAATCTTATCACTCTTTTTCACATGCCTGTATTATCTACATCTCTCTGTGCACTCTAATCATAGCAGAGGCATACACTGCATGTTAAATGAAAACACTGCTTTTATCCTGAGTCATATATGTATATAGGTATACTTTATCATCAGTATTCTGGAAAGGATCTTCTAGATCATCTTAGATTGGATATCAAATTCACAGCATATGTGATACCTCTGCCCATTTCTGTGGCCAAGGCAGGCATCCCTGTTTAATCACAGAGCTCCTTCTTGTTGAGGCTCGGCATAATTTCAGATCCTTTTCAGGAATGTTGGCATTTTTATCATCTATGACGTAAGCCCAGCTTCCGCTTTACAGATGGGCAAAAGTAAAGGTCTTGAGGTCTAAGTAAAGGTCTCAGTGTGATTATCTAATGTGATCCAGGCTGCCTGCATGAGCCGTGGCCAGAGAGAAAACCTAATCCTAACTCCTCATTTTACAAATGAGCACATTCAGTCCTCAAGAAGGAAAATAGTTTGCTCAAAAGTAAAGTAATATGCCCATGGTCACACAGTTCAAGATCATGAAGCAAGACGGTTTCATTCCAATGGAGAAAATTATTTGCCCAGATAAGTGGGGGGGGG